GACCTGAACAGATTGCAGAGATGGTCAGAGAAATGGCTACTAGAATTCAACACGAGCAAATGTAAAGTTATGGAAATGGGACTAGGAGATAGGAGACCAAAGGGACAGTACACAATGAAGGGGAACAGCCTACCTGTAACGACGCGTGAAAGAGACCTGGGGGTGGACGTAACACCTAATCTATCTCCTGAGGCACATATTAATAGGATAACGACAGCAGCGTACTCTACACTGGCAAAAGTTAGAACATCATTCAGAAACCTAAGTAAGGAGGCATTTAGGGCGCTTTACACTGCCTACGTAAGGCCAGTCTTAGAGTATGCCGCCTCATCATGGAGTCCCCATCTGAAGAAGCATATAATGAAACTGGAAAAGGTTCAGAGGTTTGCAACGAGACTCGTCCCAGAGCTACGAGGGATGGGGTATGAAGAGCGCCTGAGGGAACTGTGCCTTACGACACTAGAAAGAAGAAGGGAGAGGGGGGACATGATAGGAACGTATAAGATACTCAGAGGAATTGACAGAGTGGACATAGACGAAATGTTCACACGGAATAGTAACAGAACGAGAGGACATGGATGGAAGCTTGAAACTCAGATGAGTCACAGAGATGTAAGGAAGTTTTCTTTTAGCGTGAGAGTAGTGGGGAAATGGAATGCACTTCAGGAACAGGTTGTGGAAGCAAATACTATTCATAATTTTAAAACCAGGTATGATAGGGAAATGGGACAGGAGTCATTGCTGTAAACAACCGATGCTCGAAAGGCGGGATCCAAGAGTCAATGCTCGATCCTGCAAGCACATATAGGTGAGTACATATAGGTGAGTACACACACACACACACACACACACACACACACACACACACACACACACACACACACACACGCCTGCCCCAGTATATTCATATGTTCATGAGTTCTTATCTTCTTGTAAAGCCACAATCACACATAGCGTTTCCGATAGGTTCTTTATCTTAATTTTCCCCGGAATACGATCCGCCAAATCGTTTAACAACCAGGTATTCGTTGATTGTTGGGTGAACAGGGGCGCTCAGTTAAGGATTGGACAAGTCTCTTGTGTTGTGGAGGACAAGTCTCTTGTTGTTGTTGTTGTTGTTAAAGATTCGCTACCTGGAACAAAAAGTTCCAAGTAACACGGGCTATGGTGAGCCCGTAGATAGTTATATTGTGTTGTGGAGGACAAGTCTCTTCTTGCTGGGTGTGTGTGGGCGTCCTCACATGTTCCCGTGTGAGATGCCAGAGAACTAGTTTTCCTGAAGACTAATTCATTAGTCACAAATAGTTTATTAATATATAATATTTTTTTTACATACGTGTCCTGAGGGCAAGAATATTTCCAAGAGGTTGAACGAGTCCTTGACACCAGTCTGTGGTGCCGGTGTCAGACGTCTGGGATTACCCTCTATATTTACTATAACGTCTGGGATTACCCTCTACACTCACTATAACGTCTGGGATTACCCTCTACACTCACTATAACGTCTGGGATTACCCTCTACACTCACTATAACGTCTGGGATTACCCTCTACACTCACTATAACGTCTGGGATTACCCTCTACACTCACTATAACGTCTGGGATTACCCTCTACACTCACTATAACGTCTGGGATTACCCTCTACACTCACTATAACGTCTGGGATTACCCTCTACACTCACTATAACGTCTGGGATTACCCTCTACACTCACTATAACGTCTGGGATTACCCTCTACACTCACTATAACGTCTGGGATTACCCTCTATATTCACTATAACGTCTGGGATTACCCTCTACACTCACTATAACGTCTGGGATTACAGTCCACACTCACTATAACGTCTGGGATTACCCTCTATATTCACTATAACGTCTGGGATTACCCTCTACACTTACTATAACGTCTGGGATTACCCTCTATACTCACTATAACGTCTGGGATTACCCTCTACACTCACTATAACGTCTGGGATTACCCTCTACACTCACTATAACATCTGGGATTACCCTCTACACTCACTATAACGTCTGGGATTACCCTCTACACTCACTATTACGTCTGGGATTATCCTCTACATTCACTATAACGTCTGGGATTACCCTCTACACTCACTATAACGTCTGGGATTACCCTCTACACTCACTATAACGTCTGGGATTATCCTCTACATTCACTATAACGTCTGGGATTACCCTCTACACTCACTATAACGTCTGGGATTACCCTCTACACTCACTATAACGTCTGGGATTACCCTCTACACTCACTATAACGTCTGGGATTACTCTCTACACTCACTATAACGTCTGGGATTACCCTCTACATTCACTATAACGTCTGGGATTACCCTCTACACTCACTATAACGTCTGGGATTACCCTCTACACTCACTATTACGTCTGGGATTACCCTCTACATTCACTATAACGTCTGGGATTACCCTCTACACTCACTATAACGTCTGGGATTACCCTCTACACTCACTATTACGTCTGGGATTACCCTCTAAATTCACTATAACGTCTGGGATTACCCTCTACACTCACTATAACGTCTGGGATTACCCTCTACACTCACTATAACGTCTGGGATTACTCTCTACACTCACTATAACGTCTGGGATTACCCTCTACACTCACTATAACGTCTGGGATTACCCTCTACATTCACTATAACGTCTGGGATTACCCTCTACACTCACTATAACGTCTGGGATTACCCTCTACACTCACTATAACGTCTGGGATTACCCTCTACACTCACTATAACGTCTGGGATTACTCTCTACACTCACTATAACGTCTGGGATTACCCTCTACACTCACTATAACGTCTGGGATTACTCTCTACACTCACTATAACGTCTGGGATTACCCTCTACACTCACTATAACGACACATTCAGTCTGGGCTTGGTATAGTGAATCAGCAGTGCAACCTGCGCTCCGTCCAGCCGTCACAGTGACCCCCCCCCTCCGTCAGTGTTGTGCGGCCTGCCCTCGTTAACAAACCCAAATGCTCGTTAAACCAGCCCCCCTCGCCCCGCCCCCCACGCACCGTTTATGCAACCTGTCCTCAGGCTAGGCTCGTTAAATGGACGGTCGACCTCAAAGACGCTCTCGTAAATTGTTAACGTACTGCGTATTCAAAATTTGTATTTTCTCAAATATAAAGTAATTCTATTATATACTAGAATGTGTTCAATGGTTAAGGCCTAACATAGGGTAGGCTGTTGGGCATTATTGGTATTTCACCCCATCTCGTTAAAAGCTCGTTAAAGGCCAGGCTCGTTAAAGCTGCCGCCGTTCCCGAAGCAACCCGTCCTCGACTCAAGTCCATTACATCCAGTGGTCGACCCCACAGACGCATTAATACATTTTTACATGCTGTTCTTTCAAAACGGGAATTTTCTCAAATATAAATTAATATTATAATATATTAGCATATTGTGCATATATAGGCATAGGTTAGGTATTTAGGTTCTGTTGGAGATTATTTGTATTTGTAGTACGTGGGTGAAGCATTTACAGTGTTGTTGTTCGAACAAAATTCGACAGTGAAGCACTTGTTCCGGAAGTGTTCGAATGAAATCAGTTATGAGTCGTGTGTAAACCGTTTTTCATTCATAAACAGCTGGGGTTTGGCGGGTGCATGGAATCACTTTTGGGTCTTTGTTTGGAGGACGGGCTGTCTACAGAGTTGCAATTCGAATAGAGGTCATCAACGCAGCACTGTTCCAGAAATGTTTGAACATCAACAGTTGAGTCGTGTGTCAGCCTGTCCTCCAAAGACCCAAAAGTGATTCCATGCACCCGCCAAACCCCCTGTTTGTGAATGAAAAAGGTTTACCACGCTTGCCAGTCGTCACGCTCACTGTATACAGGACTCTGGCCGGCACTGAACACCGCCCTCCGTCACCCCTCACTGTGTACAGGACTCTGGGCGTCACTGAACACCGCCCTCCGTCACCCCTCACTGTGTACAGGACTCTTGGGGGTCACTGAACACCGCCCTCTGTCACCCCTCACTGTGTACAGGACTCTGGGCGTCACTGAACACCGCCCTCCGTCACCCCTCACTGTGTACAGGACTGAGCGTCACTGAACACCGCCCTCTGTCACCCCTCACTGTGTACAGGACTCTGGCCGGCACTGAACACCGCCCTCCGTCACCCCTCACTGTGTACAGGACTCTGGGCGTCACTGAACACCGCCCTCCGTCACCCCTCACTGTGTACAGGACTGGGCGTCACTGAACACCGCCCTCCGTCACCCCTCACTGTGTACAGGACTGGGCGTCACTGAACACCGCCCTCCGTCACCCCTCACTGTGTACAGGACTCTGGGCGTCACTGGACACCGCCCTCCGTCACGCTCGGAGATTAACAGGGTCGACCTAACACCCAAGCTACATTATTTACACGAAAATGTCTTAAAAAGAGATGGGCAGCTAGAATGGGAAGATATTGAAGGAAAACGAAAAAGACCCAAATGAGGAAAGGGAAGAAGAAGGAGCAAGAAGAGAGAGAGAGACAGGCGCGCGAACACACACACACACACACACACACACACACACACACACAAAGTTGGAATATACAGTAGTTGTATGGTGCCCAAATCTCAAGAAGCACATAAGTAAACTGGAAAAGATGCAACGGCATGCTACAAAAAGGCTTCCGGAACCGAGAAACAAGAGTTACGAGGAGACTAAAAGCGTTCAACATGCCAAAACATGATTCTAACAGGAGATATGATCACCACTTACAAAATACTAACAGGAATCTACCAATTTGACAAAGAGGAATTCCAGAAACCAGTAACTTCACGGAGAAGAGGACATAGATTCAAGCTAAGAAAACAGATGCCAATTTTTTTTAGAAAGTTTTCTTTTGCAAACAGAGTAGTAGACGGTTGGAACAAGTTAAGTGATAAGGTGGTGGAGGCCAAAACCATCAGTAGTTTCAAAGCGAAAGTACGACAAAGAGTACTGGGAAGACGGGACACCACGAGCGTAGCTCTCATCCTGTAACTACACTTAGGTAATCTCTCTCACACACACACACACACACACAGAGGAAGGCATGAACGGTCTAAGCTACGTATACAGATTATATCAATCAGCAAGAAATAACGAGAAATAACGAGATGCCAACGAAACACAGATGATGGGGGGAGAGAGAGAGAGAGAGAAGCACACAGGAAGAGAGAGCGAGAGAGAAAGAGCTTGGCGGTATAAATGGAGGTGGGAGGCGTCAAGAACCGCACTCTGTACTGCAACACGGCCCAACCACCACCACCACCTTCACTAGCACACAGCTGCTCTGTGGGCCCCTGGCAGCGGTCGGTAACCCAGCAGCAGAAGCCCGGTACACCGTCCCCGGCTGCAGACACGAGCAGACGTCTCTCCTGGACCGCGGACTTGAACTTGAACTTAGTGAGCGGCTGCTTCTTGAGCCGGGTGTTTTCCTTTCACGAACGCTAACCAACCAGCTGTAAAATCCAGGCGGAGACAGCTTTTAAGTTGCTCAATATACATTCGCTGAAAAATCGTTACTATTAAGGTCTAAATCGAGCCGGGTGGCCCCGAAAGAGAGGGAGGGAGGAAGTGCCCGACTTTCTAAGGTAACGGCAGAGTGGTGGTGGTGGGAGCGGCGGAGACTTCAACGACAGCACCGGTAGTGAGCACAGTCTAGTGTCGACCACACTCTACCCCGCCACCATGAACCTTCTCCTCCTCCTGCCCTTCCTCTGCGGTAAGTGTTCACCTCCGCTTTACATCTACACTTATTGACGTGGTTTACTAACATGTACTAGCGGGAGTGTAAACTACGGGAGAGGGGGTACCTTTCTGCTAGTTTATAGGGTAGTTTGCCTCTCTAAACTGTCGCTACTAGTGGTTAGACACACGGCTTGACCCCGGCTTTACTGTCTATGCAACACACGCAATAATTTATTACGCTATGCATGCTCCGTACACCCCCATTTCATTCATTCTACATTCACTCCATTTCATTCTACGCACACTGTAAATAGGCAAGTAATAAGCTTTCATTTGGCTCGCTTCCCGGGTCATTCCTCGGTACAGGTGGGCGAAAAAATATTAAGTTTAGCGTCTTTCATGTTGTCGAGAAATACCAGCAATGAAATATTAATACACAATATCCAGGACTTTTGATACACGCAACACAACACCACTGTTTCTGGGTGCTGAGCACTGTGCAGGCGAGGACGCTTACTAAAGCTGGGTGCTGAGCACTGTGCAGGCGAGGACGCTTAATAAAGCTGGGTGCTGAGCACTGTGCAGGCGAGGACGCTTAATAAAGCTGGGTGCTGAGCACTGTGCAGGCGAGGACGCTTAATAAAGCTGGGTGCTGAGCACTGTGCAGGCGAGGACGCTTAATAAAGCTGGGTGCTGAGCACTGTGCAGGCGAGGACGCTTAATAAAGCTGGGTGCTGAGCACTGTGCAGGCGAGGACGCTTAATAAAGCTGGGTGCTGAGCACTGTGCAGGCGAGGACGCTTAATAAAGCTGGGTGCTGAGCACTGTGCAGGCGAGGACGCTTAATAAAGCTGGGTGCTGAGCACTGTGCAGGCGAGGACGCTTAATAAAGCTGGGTGCTGAGCACTGTGCAGGCGAGGACGCTTAATAAAGCTGGGTGCTGAGCACTGTGCAGGCGAGGACGCTTAATAAAGCTGGGTGCTGAGCACTGTGCAGGCGAGGACGCTTAATAAAGCTGGGTGCTGAGCACTGTGCAGGCGAGGACGCTTAATAAAGCTGGGTGCTGAGCACTGTGCAGGCGAGGACGCTTAATAAAGCTGGGTGCTGAGCACTGTGCAGGCGAGGACGCTTAATAAAGCTGGGTGCTGAGCACTGTGCAGGCGAGGACGCTTAATAAAGCTGGGTGCTGAGCACTGTGCAGGCGAGGACGCTTAATAAAGCTGGGTGCTGAGCACTGTGCAGGCGAGGACGCTTAATAAAGCTGGGTGCTGAGCACTAAACACCTGCATTAACCTCGTGTAGGCTGCACTGTTGTTCATGCAACAGCCCAGTGTGTGTGTGTGTGTGTGTGTGTATACAACAACCTTCTGCATGGAATGATGTACATTTATTCTATGTATTTTGATGAAATAGGTAATTGTATTACATGCAACTGCATAAAGTGAGTTCTGTCGACACAAGCGAACACCGCGTTTAGTGTTCTGTTGGACTGGTCGACCCGGGTATCGAAACGCTGTTTATTTATATATAATGTGCATGTACCAGTCAGGACGTCAATACCTGTGATCCTTAAGACATAATCCACAAACAAACAATCAGAATGGGTACGAGGAACACGTGTAGACTTGGTTTGGTGACTTCACGTCTTAAGGAGAGCGTTCCAGACCATCGGCTTCAGAGTGTTACCACCACGGAGCATTAAGGAGCCGCAAGGAGCTGAAACTGGTTCAGGAAGGTAAGGCGAGGGGCAGGGCCACACCTGTGCTCACGAGGGGCAGGGCCACACCTGTGCTCACGAGGGGCAGGGCCACACCTGTGCTCACGAGGGGCAGGGCCACACCTGTGCTCACGAGGGGCAGGGCCACACCTGTGCTCACGAGGGGCAGGGCCACACCTGTGCTCACGAGGGGCAGGGCCACACCTGTGCTCACGAGGGGCAGGGCCACACCTGTGCTCACGAGGGGCAGGGCCACACCTGTGCTCACGAGGGGCAGGGCCACACCTGTGCTCACGAGGGGCAGGGCCACACCTGTGCTCACGAGGGGCAGGGCCACACCTGTGCTCACGAGGGGCAGGGCCACACCTGTGCTCACGAGGGGCAGGGCCACACCTGTGCTCACGAGGGGCAGGGCCACACCTGTGCTCACGAGGGGCAGGGCCACACCTGTGCTCACGAGGGGCAGGGCCACACCTGTGCTCACGAGGGGCAGGGCCACACCTGTGCTCACGAGAGCAGCAGCGACAATACGAGCAGTTCACCAACCCGTGTGACCTTAGGCCTCCAGTCTGTGTGACTGTAGAGACAGATCATCACAAGATGAAGCACAAGTCTCCAGATAAAGCTGGTGTAGAGCTTCCCAGTGTAGAGCTTCTCTCCATAACAGCACGGTCGGTCGGCCGAGCGGACAGCACGCTGGACTTGTGATGCTGTGGTCCTGGGTTCGATCCCAGGCGCCGGCGAGAAACAATGGGCAGAGTTTCTTTCACCCTATGCCCCTATTACCTAGCAGTAAAATAGGTACCTGGGTGTTAGTCAGCTGTCACGGGCTGCTTCCTGGGGTTGGAGACCTGGTCGAGGACCGGGCCGCGGGGACACTAAAGCCCCGAAATCATCTCAAGATAACTCAAGCACTCGACAAACGGGCTACACTGAGTGGTCAAGGCCGACAATTCGCCATCCAGTCAAACCCTTCTCGATAAGACACCAATTTAAACTGACAATATATAAATGCCCAAACGAAAACAGCGTTAGCGATGAGCGAGCAGCGACAGAAACATCAGAGAGAAAGTTCGCCCTCGAATGTGTCCTGGAAGATGACTCGAGCATTATAGGAAGGAGCACGTTTGGTGTGTGAAGAGTTCGAGGAGTGCATGTTGGTCGCCCCGGGAACACTGCACTTCACACTAAACCACACCAGCTCACACACTTGAGCATGACGGTCTCGCTTCGTGCAGGTCTGCGTTCACTCCCCGACCGTCCACAAGTGTTTGGGCACCATTCTTTCTCCCCGTCTCATCCCTAATCCTTTTCCTGACCTTCCAAGTGCTATATAGTAGTAATGGCTTGGCGCTTTCCCTTGATAGTTGCCTCCCTCCTTCACACATCGGGAAATACTAAGCTGCTCAACATCAAACACAGTTAACAAGAACCATTAAATATTGACGGTTGATACAAACTACAAGATAATAAAATAATGAACAAAGTTTAAATTCAAGACTCCAAAGTCCCTTGCAATTGAAGGAAGTTTTGAGCCTCGGGGTTTGTTAAACTGACACGACAAGGAAGGTTGTACTCGCCTAGCTATGCTTGAGGGAGGGGGGGAGCTCTGGATCTTTGGTCCCGCCTCGCAACCGTCAATCAACTGATGTACAGATTCCTGAGCCTACTGGGCTCTTATCATATCTACATTTGAAACTGTATATGGAGTCAGCCTCCACCACATCACTGCCTAATGCATTCCATCTGTGAACTATTTTGACACAAAGTTCTTTCTAACGTCCCTGTGGCTCATTTGGGTACTAAGTTCCCACCTTTGTGTCCTTGTTCGCGTACCACCCGTGTTAAACAGTTTATCTTTATCTACCCAGTCTATACCTCTGAGAATTTTGTAGGTTGTGATCGTGTGTGTGTGTGTGTGTACTCACTCACCTATTTGCACTCGTCTATTTGTGTCTGCAGGATCGAGCATTGACTCTTGGAGCTCGCCTTTCGAACCATCGGTTTACAGCAATGACTCCGGTCATTGTTAGAGAATTTAGGATCACGTAAATTATATAATGGCAAGATGAGGGGTTAAAGTCACTTTGTTATGATCTCTAACCCTACAAACATTGGCGTGTGTGTGTGTGTGTGTGTGTGTGTGTGTGTGTGTGTGTGTGTGTGTGTGTGTGTGTGTGTGTGTGTGTGTGTGTGTGTGTGTGTGTGTGTGCGTGTGTGCGTGCGTGCGTGCGTGCGCGCGCGGGTGTGTGCGGGTGTGTGTGTATGCGTGTATGCGTGCACACCAGCGTGTCGGGCTCTCACACGATGACAGTGTTCCGTGGATCACCTAAATTAAATAATGGCAAGATGAGGGGGGTTAAAGTCACCATTTGTTGTGATCTCTCACCCCACAAACACTGGCCGGGAGGCGATGTGTCTGTGTTTTATCACTCAAAATTCCTCAAGTTAAGTCTCACTTCAGTGTTTTTGTGGCGTTTGTTACTCTGTGTGTTTTATCCAAGACTTACCTTATAAGTCTTCGATCAAGACGTAAGACTTCAACCAAGAAGGCTTACGAGACTTGCCTTATAAGCCTTCAATCAAGACTTACCAGCCAGAGTACTGGAGGAACCCAGACCTTCAGTGAGGTAAAAAGTCTTCCTAAAACCTCAGTATGAAGATATTGACACTTAATTCTTCAAAATAATAGTTTCCAAAATGTTTTTTTTCATACAAGTTTCCAAAATGATAAAATGCTGAGCAATGCAGGCGATGAGTCACAATAACGACGACGTTTCGGTCCGTCCTGGACTTGAGAATGGTCCAGGACGGACCGAAACGTCGTCGTCCCTTCACTTTCTAGTGTGTGGTCTGGTCATGAGGAGCAATGATAATGTTGCCTTAGTGGTATAATTTGCCCAATACATGTCTAGGATCACATATCAGACGACATCTTCAGCACCATACAGTACCGTGACAAATATATCGGTACAACTGTACCAGGAGTGTGTGGGGGTGAGAGTACCGTGTCTAGGGTGATGGTTCAGTGTAGAGGTACCGTGTCTGTAGTACCCCCAACACGCCATGGGAACCGTATCCTAGATGTAGGTACTACACCTGATGGAAGGTACCGTGTGCAGCAAGTTCACCGTACCATGCAGCTGGCTACACAGGCGTGTACCTCCGCTCGCCTCAACCGAACCTCACGAAGTGAATGACAAACAACTTCCGGCCGCCGCTGACGACGAGAACGCAAACAAAAGAGCCCAACAATTCAGGTTTAGGTTGTTTCTACACTGTGATTGTTTCCCGCGCGACGCGTCATCGACCTGGCCC